TGATCCCTGAGCCTTCAGACAAAGTGCAATATAGGCATCCCATTTAGGTCTGAGCACTCCGTGGTCTCTTTCTGCAAGTTGACTATTTGTGGGTCTCTGTATTAATCACCATCTGCTGCAAGAACCTTCTTTTGTGAGTGTTGAGGGATGTATTAATCTATGGATATGGTAATAAGTCATTGTGAGTCAGTTTAATAGCATGTCTATTTAGCAAAATGATAGTAGTAGGTTCTCCCCTATGGCCTGTGATTTGTCTAGGCACAGGTTCTTGCCCTGACAACAGTGTGAGGCATGAAACTGGGCGTGGTGGTGCATGCTTTTAATCCCAGCACTTGGAAGGCAGAGGCATGCTGATCTCTGTGAGTTGGAGACTAGCCTGGAATACATAGTGAGTTCCAGGCCAGCTGGGGCTACAGGGAGACCCTGTCTCAAAGGACCAAAAAAAAAACCCACAGTGAACAGCGTCAGGTATGGTCTCCCTACCATGAAGCAGGCTTTACATCCAATCAGAAGGTGACTAGTCACTCCCATAATATTCATGCCACTATTGCACCACTGGGCTTATTTTGCCAAGCCAGTTGCCACTGTAGCGCACAGGATCAACAGCTGGGCAAGGTTGATAATTATCTTTCTCTGTAAATAACATGCATTATACCTTCTAGTACTATGAAAGCTAGCCAGCAGATATGTAGCTTCAGGACTAGTACCAGCTTGATTTCTCCTTGTTTGTTCTATAACTCAGTTATGTAGTAGTACCTTCTGAAACAGTTTATCATCCAGTCCTGGTAGGCAACCCAGTACAATGGCAATAGCCAGTATTGTCTGAGGATCTATGGGATCTCTGCTCAACAACTCCAAAAGAGGATGTCCATTCCTCGCATTGGGCTTTTAATTTGCTAGTCTATTAAGGCCACTGAACCCTATTACAGGGTAGCAATCTTCAAACTCTTTTATATTGTATGTGTATATATTGAAACTTCCATAGTAGGTTTTCACATCTTTCAAAAGGCCTATAATGTTAGTTATCCCTCCTCTTAACTCCCTCTTCTGACCTAGCCTCCCATTCCCCACCCACTAAACCTGTACTTATCTATTATTCTTCTTTCCTATTTACATCACCGCATTTTATCTCCCCTCTATGAACCACCCCCATGGTGCCTCATTAGTTTCCTAATCTCTTAGAATTTTCCAATTGAAACACACATATCTAAAGACTGAAAGCTAGCATTTACTTAAGACAGAACATGTGATGTTTGTCTTTCTGGGTCTGGGTTACCTCACTCAGGATGACTGTTTCCAACCATTTACTTGTGAATGTCATAATTTTGTTTTTCTCAACAGCTGGATATTATTCCATTATGTAAATGTCCTGTACTTTCATTATCCATTCATCAGGTGATGAACATCTAGGTTGCTTCCATTTCCTGACTATTGTTAACAGGGCAGCAATGAACATGGATGAACAGGTATCTCTATAATAGGATAGAGTCCTTTGGGTATACGCCCAAGAGTTGTATGACTGGATTATGTGGGAGATCTAGTTTGAGCTTTTTGAACTATTCGAGATCATGCTATATTTCAACAATTCTAAAGCAAGTTCTAGCTCCTTACAGCCTTATTTTTAAGGTATTACTACAGAACTACTGTATTATTAATGTTTGGGGGGAGGGGCAAAATACCAACTACTATATATGAAAACACAATCCTACAAACAAAATTTCTTTCAATGACTCTTGCATAATGGAATCTTACAAAGAATTCAGAAGCCAGGCATGGTGGCCCACACCTTTAGTCCCATCACTCGGGAGGCAGAGGCAGGGAGAGCTCTGTGACTTCAAGGCCAGCCTGGTCCACATAGTGAGTTCCAGGTCAGCTGGGGCTACAGGGAGACCCTGTCTCAAAAAGACCGAAAAAAAAAAGTATACAGAAAGCCAGGTGTGGTGGCACACATCTTTAATCCCAGCACTTGGAAGGCAGAAGCAGGGATCTCAGTGAGACTGAGGTCAGCTCGGTCTTCAAGGAGAGTTCCAGGCCAGGTGGAGCTGCAAGGAGATCCTGCCTCAAAAAGATTTAAAAAAAAAAAGGCAGAGATGAAGAGAATATTTAAATAATGCAGCTTCGTGCATGAAATAGCTTCCCAGTTTGGGTCAGAATTACAATTTTTAAAACTTACAAATATGAATTTTAAAACTGTTAAGGATCCAATAATATATAAAAGAATTTCTAAAGGCAAGCAACAATAGTCAATAACTAAATTCTAAGGATTTTTTTTTTTTTTTGGTCTTTTTTGAAACAGGGTCTCCCTGTACAGCTGTCCTGGAACTCACTATATAGACCAGGCTGGCCTTGAACTCAGAGATCCACCTGCCTCTGTGCTGGGACTAAAAGCATGCACCACCAAGCCCAGCTAATAACTAAATTTTAAGAGTTTGGGGACAAACTAAATTTGTCTGGAGTGACACAACAAAAATCATAGCCAAAAAGGGAATTCTGGCAATTAATTCTATTATCAGTTAAATAACCCCCAACTACCCCTACAGAAAAACCAGCTCTTTTAATCTTTTAAGACTTACAGAAGAAATTGTGAAACAAACACAGCTCAACATTCTACTCCCCAATGCCTACCCCAAAAATACTGATTCTCAGAACAGTTAAGAGAGGGATGAAACTAAATAATTCAATACTTCCTTCAAAGGATTCTAGTTCCTTCATTCTATCCAGAATCCAATACAAACAGATGTGAGGCTACATTCTGTCATGCTTTATACTAGTACGTTCATGCCCATAAGGAGGCGAGCAAGAACTACATGAAGGTTTCAATGCACATACTAGAGAATCTTTTAGCATTAAAGCTGATGGGTCCTGGTTTAAGTGGCTACAACCTAAACAGCACTGAGCAAGAACCAATGAAGATTATTTTTTTAATGCAACAAATCTACTCAGTTTATCAAATTACCCCATATTTTATAATTATTAATCGTCACCAAAACAATGAAGCTTCACAAATTTCTCATTTTTAAGATGTAACCACTGAAAATATTCAGTTTTTAAAATGTAAACTCAGTGCACACTAACTGTAGGGTTCACTGTTACAACATGAAATCAAATGTTAAGCGCCACCCACTGTGACTCTATCTGAATACAGGCATTCTGAGACATGGAATTATGAACCAGCACTTTACACATGCACATAAAACATCAGATTCCGTTTATTTCTTCATCACTGTAACCAAAAGCAATAGATTTAGGCAAACTTTTCCAAATGAATTATCCTCTGCAAGGAACTTTACCAGCCCAATATTAGACCAGCAATATTCATTCCAAAATAAAATGCTCCTTAAGCTTAAAACCGTTTTAATTTTTTGGAATGGCAACTTCACACTAGTCTTTTTATATAAAATACTACGAAAATACATTAGGGGTGGGGAGAATCTTAAAGACAGAGAACCAGTGATTATTAATGCTTATATCATTCCTGGGCTAATGATTGTTCATTTTTTCCAATGATAATTTTAATGAAGCCAATTAATATTTACACCGTCAAAGTTTAATTCAAGTTTTCTCTACCATTCAGAGACTGGACTTAATGAAAAGGACTATGTCCGTTTAGCTTTCTAGTCATTGTCTGAAATCAAAACTCCTTATATTTCATTACTTTTAAATAAAGACCTAAGTGTGATCACAGATAAAAAGCGATTAAAAGCCGTGGCTAAACCAAAACACAGACAAAATATAGAGATCAAAATAATCAACTTTTAAAAATTCTTTTAGGCTTTAGCCATTTTAAACTTCTGAACTGCTTCTCAACAAAAAAGCTGCCTGTCAAACGCAAACCTACAGATTTCAGTGAAAAGAGAAAATGTCTTATAGATGCAACACCGATCATACTCCAAGTTTTACGGTCCCAACTAACAAGAAAACCTTCTAATGCCATCCCAATCACATTTTGGTCAGGAGATTCAAACTGATGCAGACAGAATGAGACTCCAGCCTTTGTTCAATAGCTTACGGATGGGTAACTAAATGTGCTACAGGTTGATAAGCATTTACCAGGCTTATGCACGCTGTTTCCATATTAGAGAAAGGTACAAAAATTCGGTATGCAAATAATCTGATATAATTTTTATTAACCACTGAGCCACAAACTCCAAAGGAGAGGCCTATTATTCGCTACTCGTTACTATTTATTTCCATGTTTACCTCGCCTCCCTCCCCCAAGCCCCCCCTCCTTCACTTTCTCCTCCCACCCTGTCCCGCCATCTTGGGCCGATAGGAGCAGCCATTACTTAACTAAATGACAGCGCCAACAACTTTGCACACAAATAAACAGAGACTACACCCCGAATCGTCCCCGGCCTCCCCTGACAAACACACAGGAAACGCAGCTCCAAGTAGGAAACGCACTCACACATAACTGAGGTAGAAGATCTACGGCAGAAAGATCCAAAAAGTAAACAAGTCACCTAACTTCAGGTAAAGCACACACCAACTGAGCTACATGTCAACAGTCCAATGCAAACTCTTCTCGGACCCAAAGTCCGTGCAACTTCCCCCTTCCGGGAGCAGGGGCAGAAGCCATCCCAAAATGTTTGCTCAACAGCAGACGTCTCGAAGCGCCTGCCCGAAGGAAGAGCTTCCAAACCTGGGGAGGCAGAAGTCCGACATTTAAGGAAATCGCTTAGCATCTCGTGACCCTCAAAAGACACCTCGGGGATCACCGACCTGGCTCCCAAGGGCGGTAAAATCCGAGACAATTCGCTCGCCCCAGATGAGCTCTAGCGCTGCTGCCTCGGTTCCCCCGGCTCCAGGAGGAGAGCGATCCCACAAGGGAGCCAGCGAGGTACCCGGGGTGGTGGAGAGCAGGGCACTTCGCAGTCTCCCGGAAGCCCCTCGGCCATCGCTCGCCTCCACAATGCGCGCAGAGCTGGCTACGGGCCCCGGGGCGAGCGCGCTGCTGGCCGGGGTGACCGCGTCCGCGCTCCGGCCCGCCGCTGCCTTACCTTGCCCAGGAGGGCCTTCGTCCTGGCGCCATCTTCATGAAACCTCACGAACCCGAAGAGGCGGCTGCGGAGAAACACACACGCGGCTCGTTAGAGCTCCGGCAACGCCGCCGACCTGTCCCCGGCCGAGCCCGAGGCCCCGGCGGCACGGAGAGCGCCAAGCCCCGGTGCCCGCCCCACCACCGCCACCGGCGAACCGCACTCGGGGCCTCCGCGGAGAGCGGCGCCTGCCCGTCCCGAGCTGCCCCGGCCGCTGCCCGCACCCCGTACCTGTCCAGTCCGCCGAGTGCCTCCCTCTCCTCGGCTGTCAGGCTGGGGGACGCCTCCTCGCTCTCGCCGCTCGCTTTTCCCGCCGCCATTTTCTTTTCCTCATCACCGAAAGCGGCGGCGGCAGCGGCGGCGGTAGCGAGCGACACTCCGCAGGATTTCATGGAAACGCAGCGAATTCACAACTCCAACGCCGACACCCCCCCTCCCCGGGCCGGGGCCCGCAACGACGCCCCCGATCTCCGCACGGGACCGGCACACCAACTTTATCTCCGCTTCCTCCTTCGCCGCGAAAGGCGGCGGCGAAAAATCCCAAAGCGGTGAAGGCAGCGGCGGCAGGGGCTGCGGACCACTGGGTCGGGTAGCGGAGACTGCTCGGCTGTAGGGTCACATCGCGGGGGCGGGCAGGGGGTAGCCACGGGCGGGGACGGCGGGAATGGCCGGAGCGCGCGGGGTTCGGGAGCTCTGGGGGGATTCGTAGGAGACACAAACTTCCCCGGCACCAGCACAAAGTTGTTGTAATTGTGTCACACAGCGAACCCCACGCCGCCGCCGTGACCCCCCCCCTCCCCGCCTGGCCGGCGCAGCCAATCGGAGTGGCCCCCTCGCCTCACGTGATCTTTGTTGACTCGCGTCAGCCGTGGCTCCACTCAACTTGCTAGCTGCTTTAGCCCCGCCCACCGAGGCCGCCACGGACTGGGGAGCGGGACGCTCGCCAATTCTGACCGGTGGTTGGCTGCTGGGCGCGTCTGTCCCGCGAAGGGTTGTCACAGAGTAGGAGCAGCCGGTTAGGTTGTGCTGCTTAAATACACGGGCAGAGAATGGAGGGTCCCGGCCGTGTCACCTCGGGGGCCGCGGCGGGCTGGGGCCAGCGGGGGGAAGGGGAACGATGGGGAAGGGCGAGGTCCGGCACCGCCCGCAGCGGGCACGAGCAGCGGTCCGGGAAGCCTCGGAAGGCCTCTCTGCCCGCGAGCCCGGGGATAGGCCCAGACTGCGACTTTCGTAGTCCCGCGTGTTCTGATGGTGCCGATCGGCACACGGCCAGGAACCGCTGGAGTCGCCGGGAGGCGGCGCACAGTCCCGGACCTCTGCCCTCGGAAGAAGGCGCACACGCTTTTGCCCCCGCTGGAAATAATGGCCTCCATGAGGAAGGCGCCCGGGTAACAGAAGCGACCCTGTTCCCCGCGGCCCGGCCGCCGCCCTAAGCCATTGCAGTCCGTGCAGTCCGGAGCCCCGCACCCTCACTGAAAGGGAAGGGGACTACGTCCCCGGATCCCCGCCCACACACCCCGGGCGGGAAGGAAAGAAGAGTCGCCTGCGGGGGTCTGGCGCGCTGGCCGCGGCACCCCACCGCCAAAGAGCTGTCTGTTGGCAGCACTTTCGGGCCAAATTTCCCTGCTGCTTGCGTTTACCCTGAGCCCTAGCAGTACTTGATCAGACTGTAGAAAAAAAGCAATGAAAATGTGTTAAGGGGCATCGCCAGAATGTTGGGGTCTGTAGCTGTGAGCTCTGGGTCCTTCATGGAAGAGAAGAAGCTGCTTGCGGAATTGGCCCGAGAGAAACAGGATCCTCATCACAGCTTGCAGTCCGGAAAAGCCTTTTTCTACCTCCACTACCTACGGAAACTCAGCACTAACGCTTGCCTGTTCTGTCCTTCAGGTGCAAATAGAAGTCTGGTGTTCGGTCCATAGTGTAATGGGGAGAAAGACCAGGCCTCCCCTCGGCTATTTTGAAAAGGCAGATTTAACCTGGTGTATCTCGTGTAGCCAGTCAGCTACACGGCACGCCTCCAGTCTTCAGGGGTAGGAAAGCAGTCGTTAAATATTAATGACCATATGAAGAAAAGGCCCCCTTTATAATCAGGATTTTATGTTTTCAATAATAAGTTTACACCTGTAACCAATAGGATATATTTAAATTTGGATTTCAAAGTAGCCAATTGCTGAGTCAGTAAATCCTAGCAGTATTCAGTGAGCAGCTCTGAAAATCCCAACTGATTTTGCACACGGACACAGCTTTAAATTGTTCCCCGGAGACTAGTAACTAGATGAACAAACTCAAGTTTTATATAGATTATATTTCATGTTTAATTACTGCCTCTAAAACACCTCTTCTACTCTTTATTGTATTCTGTTTTGTTTGAATGCGTACAGGGGGCTGAATATTTCTATAGCTAAATTAACACATGCATCGTTAACTATCACAAATGGTGACCTTCAAAACCTGGGAGATTTTTGGCCCCAGTATCACACACACACACACACGAGAGAGAGAGAGAGAGAGAGAGAGAGAGAGAGAGAGGAGAGAGAGGAGAGAGAGAGGAGAGAGAGGAGAGAGAGAGGAGATTTGCACGAGCAGAGAGACAAATCTGCCAGTATTTGGCCATCTTCCCAAAGTTAGTGGTTCCTGATTCAGTCCCTTTCCAAGAATGGTAAGGCTGCCCACTGCCCACCCCTCAAATCCTGCCTTCCCACCATTGCCAGGTTATAGGAGAGGTACAATGATGGGAGGGGGTAAAATCTAGCATAGTTGGTTTCTGATCATTGCTCTGCACAGGCTGTGTGACCTTGGGAAAGTTACCTGTCCTCTAAGCCAAAGCTGTTGGGGTTTGGGGGTGATAGGGTAGTGGTCTTGTTTGTTGGGGGGGGCAGGTTTTATGAGACATGATCTCATGTGTAGCCCAAGCTGGCCTGATGACCTGAGCTCAATCCCTGGAGCTCAGAACAGACACCCATAAGTTGTCTTCTGACCTCCTGCCTCAGACTGAGTCAGTGCTGAGATAGACATGCAGTTCCACATCTGGCTAAACCAGCACTTTATATTTATTCCAACTACCAGGCTCTATTCTCCATCAAGCATGAGGCAGTATCCATAGAGTAACGGAAGCTTTTACATAACTTATTTTTTGGCTCTAGCATAGTTTATTATCTGTCAAATGGATGTAAAATAGGCATGAAGCCTTTCTCCTTCACTGGAGAGAAAAGTAAGAGGACTGATTAAATTGATTTTATAATAATTATTACTATGAAAAGTAAATCTGGGCTGGCAGTGTAGGTCACTGGTTGCCTAGGGTGCATGTTCAATCCCCGGCGCCACATTAACTGAGTAAGGTGGCACAGGCCTGAAATCCCAGCACTCAGGAAGCAGAGAAATCAGCAGTTCAGGGTCATCCTGGGCTACAGAATTGGGGGTGGGGTATTAAAATGTGGAAGGAAGAGTGGTGTCACTAAAGGATCCCAATCTGTGATACCATAAATCTGAACTCTAATCCTAACTTTACCACTTAATAGTGGGGCAGCATTCAATAACTTAGGATAATTTGAACTTCAGTTCCCTCCCTCTCATCTGTGAAAAAGAAACTAAGGGCTGGCGAGATGACTCAGCCAGTAAAGGCATCTGTCACCAACGCTGATGACCTGAGTTCAATCCCTGGTGCCCAGAACAAACTCCCATAAGTTGTTTTCTGACCTCCACATGCACACTATGGCACACATGCACTCACACACTAAATGTAAAAAAAAAAAAAAAAAAAAAATTTAAACGATAACCAGTTAATGACATTATTTTAAACATTAGATGCTATAAGATAGGTGAAGTACCAGATAGGTACTATGGATTCAAAGACTTCATTAGGACTGGGGGTGTGATTCAAATACTCAAAGCCTTGAGTTCAGTCCCCAGTATCAAACAAATAAAATTGTTAGGTTTCATTTCTGGGATCTTTTCTTGCTTCTACAATACAGGTTCTAAATTTTGTATCACTACTCTACCAATCACTTCCTCCTATCCTTCAGCCTCCCTTCTAGCCCAACACATAAGCAGTTCTAATCCACTTTATATTCAGTTATAAGAAAATAAATTTAACTTGCATTAAACAACTAAATACTTAACCTGAAGCATTTAGGAAAATATAGTTCATTTCTATGTAAGTTTATCTAGTCTCATAAGTAAGTCTATGCACATGCTTGTAATCCCAGTACTTGGGAGGTGGAAGTATGGTGAGCAGTCCACGGCCAGCCCAGGCTGCATAAGAGCCTGTCCCAAAAAACTTTAAAAAAAAAAACATATATATACATATATATATATATATATTCTTATCCTTGATGTCAGAATTAAAAATAAGTTTTAAAAAATTACCAGTTCTGGGGCTGGAGAGATGGCTCAGGGGTTAAGAACAATGGCTGTTCTTGCAGAAGGCAGAAGACCCGGGTTCAAATCCCAGCACCCACATGGCAGCTAACAACTGTCTGTAACTCCAGTTCCAGGGTATCCGACAGCCTCTTCTGTCTTCTGCGGGCATTGCACAGCACACGTGCACTTACCTACATGCAGACATAATGCTCATGCACATAAAATAAAAATAAATTTTTTTTTTAAATTATCAGTTCTTCCCATAGTAATGTCATAAAGTTTATCCAGCCAGGGCTAGCAAGATGGCTCAGTGGATAAAGCGTCAGGTAGCAGTGACAGCTCAGCTGTAGGGTCACTTGCTGCTAGGTGTGATAACCTGAATTTGATCCCTGGAACCCACAGGGATGGTGGAAGGACAGAACAAACTTACAAGTTGCTCTCTGACCTCTACACATGCGCCCACACATATACGCACTAAATAAGTAAATGTAATATTTTATATAAAAAAGATTACTAATGGCAGAAATAAAAAGGAATTAAGCTTGTACAGAGATAGTCAATTATATAGACTTATTCCAAAACCTTCAATTGTGAGAATATATCACCAAGAACTTCTGCTTTACCTTAATCAGGCTGAAACAAAGTACTCAGTTGCACTAAGGAACCTGAGCTTCCAATTCAGAGGGGCCATTCCCCCTCCTTGATGAAGCCTAGTGGAGAGTCAGGACTTTCAATACTGCTCATCGGTAATGCCACCATCCCCACTTTGTCAATGGAAACAATGTGGGTATTAATAATATACCTCTCAATCGTGTTGGTATCATTGGAGTCCTACTATATAGCCAGAATTCCTATCCCCACAAAGCAATAAGCAGGAGGCACTGTCCCTCCATCAGTGTCAGTAAAGAGTGAGGAACCAAGATTTCCACCAACACGGCATAAACAAGGCAGTGTCCCTCTCCCCTTACCAGAGCAGAGCAGAGGATCCCTGCTAAAATGAAAGACTTAAACAAGATCCCAAGTCACAGTACTCAAAAGGTCCAGGTTTCAATTTTTAAGACTCATTCATCATGCCAAGAACCAGGATAATCTTAAATGAGAAAAGATAATCAATAAATGCTAATACTAAGATGATATGGGTATTTGAATTATCTGGCAAATTTTGAAGCAGCCTTATTAAACTGCTTCAATAAGCGATTATAGACCCACTTGAAATAAGTGAAAAACTAGAAAGTCTCAGCAGAGAAAGAGGAAATTTCAGCAAAGAAAAGATACAAAGAATTATTTTCAAGCAAGTGACATTTTGTTTATTACTAGAAGTAGACTAGGCACATTTACTCACTATGTCTTGGAATCAGTATCTAAAAGAAAATACTACATGGTCACACTGAGTGGAACAAAGACACAGCAAGATCAACTTCGGTAGTGGACATTAATCCCACATGGCCAGCGGGTCT